TAGTTCTTAAGATATTTAATTAAATAACAAAAATTAGCCGCTTTTAAGCCTAATTGACGCTTAGACGTTTTTTGTCAATAACTTCTGAAATATTTATTAGACAACAATTAATTTTATGCCATTTTAAACACCAGAAAATGATCTTTTTAATGCTATTAATTACATTGCGATGAAATGTTTTCTCTGATTGTTATTAAGGTTTAAAAATATTTTTGTAACGTAATTTCTAACAAGACTTTTTATTCTTATAGAAATAAATTCAAGCCAAATTACTGTTTCGCGCGCGGGCTTTTGCCAGTGTTAAAGTTAATATAAGAAAATATTGCTTTCTTTGACCATTAACAACAAAGGAGACTTTACACTTCCGGTTTCATGTTGTCGTAGCATTTGCAGCTTTTAATGTGGTTACACAGTGATCCAATGACGTTAGTGAATTATTCTCTCGATGTTTTGTTTAACTTTCACAGTGAGGTATTACAGAATATCCATCTGTAGATACGGTAATGGGCATTAACAAGGAACATCATATACTGTAGAGCTCTTCAACATCTTAGAATTGTCAGGGCACCTTCCGACAAGCCTAGAATAATAGCCTGTGTGCCAGTACTACTAATACGCAACCTCGATATACCGAGACTGCGCAATGGCACACGGTCGTAAATTACACACCAAGGTCCAAACGTCATGAAAGCTACTTTTATGACTGATATAGGGAGAAGAGAGAGTATTTTAATTCCACGCCTTCCGATAATGCCGAAGGATTTATCATCTCAGTTCAGAAGGCAACAAATCCCTTTAAAAACGTCATTTGCCAGGCTCAGGGGCAGTTACTGAAAGTGGCAGATGTACATTTTGAAAAACCATATTTTTCGCATGGGCAACTATGCATGGCGTGTTCACGTGTGTCCAGCACACACTACCTCTCAATCCGTGCAAATAATGTGGTATACAAAAGTATATTAGAATAGATAAAAAATTTACATAACTATATCAGCATACATGTAAAGTACACTCCTGTCAGCCGTCCAATTAAGTATTATCTCCGTCAGAACTTTTACTTTCGCCTTTCAAAATGCAAAAAAATATTTACATTCGTGAATTAAAAAAAAGAATAATTCAAATTCTTCGCGCACGAAGTCGCGGGTAACAGCTAGTTAATAATATATTTATAAAAAAGGGACTTTCTGTAGGTTGTTAAACCTACATTCAAACATGGATATATATTTACTTTTTTAATTTTGAATATTTAAAAAAATTAATTTCCTTTTTACGTTTTTTACTTCCGGCAGGGAAGTTTTGTAAGTAAAATTTAAGCTATTACAGTTTTTAAAATTAAATAATTTTTAAAGAAATTTAAGCTGAAAATAAATACTTAACAAATTCCTTTATTTCTTGCACTCCTTTGTACAGATTTCTGTAATAGCGATTCAAAAGTAAAAAATTGCACAATTCGGTTTTTGGACGAGTTTTCCCAAACACAAGGCGTCTGGAATTAGAAACAGGCTAACTGTTGATGAAATGATTCATCGCTATGATGAAAATAATGTTGAGTTCTTTATAAAAAGTAATCTTTGGCCACTTTTAAAGTCCTTAACATTGTTTAAATTAACTGTAACAATTCATTTCCTTACCACATTCCATTTCGAAAATTCGGTAAAATACTCTTGATATACCAAATGCAGTAGAGTATTGACTTCGGGTGTTCTATGCAAGAGTGCGGAAGGAGGTATCTGCGATTTGCATCGTCAAGCAGGTTTAGTTCCTTACGTCTAAAGATAACCGAATTTGTTTCTATAAATTAAGGTGCTGTATTCATTCTTAAAAAGCAATTCAAATGTTTCTTTTAAATTAGAAATAAACATTAGCTTTGTTTCCGATTCCTAATCATTATTTTCATTCATTTTTAATAAATTTTTTTTCATAAAATTGAAAAAAAAAAGATGTTTGGATTATCTAAAATTTTGGATTCCGGAGATTCCACTGTACAGTAAACGAACTTCTGGTTCTCATCTGATCACCACAGTTAAGCAGCATCGGGCGTGGTCAGTTCTTAGGCGGGCGACTACCTGGGAACAACAATGCGTGATGTTGGCCTTCGAGTTCTGTGACTAACCAAGTCCACAAGTCAAGAAGACAAGATGTGATGTGATTAGTCACAACAGGTACAATAAGCACTATTTGCATTTTAAAAACAAATAATTTTAATTTCCCCCCAATTTTAGCAATTTAAATACAATTCTTCAGCAGTATTTTTCAATGCATCAGGATAGTGATATTTGTAGGTGTTGCATCTTTTGGTAAAACATTTATAGGTATACTGTACATACTGTTCCATTTAATTTTTCCTCTTTAGTAACTGAAGGATCCTCGAAACAAATATTTATATTTCCTTAAAATTTGAAACATTTGCAAGTATTGGGGAGGAATGGGGCAGGCATTTTTTTCAAATTTGAAAACTCGCTGGGTTTGGAAAGAGGAGCAAAATTGAACAAAATATTGAATATCACAGGTATAACAAAAATGATTAGCCAAAATTCAAATTCATTAACGGATTAGTCATGCAGCCGCGAAGATAAAAAGACTCCCAACTTGCTAGCTGGGATCAAACCATTTACATTCAGGTCAGTAAGCTGCACTTAACCTACAGAAGCATATTGCATTTGACAAAACCTGTAAATAACATTTTTACCCGTAGGTATTGCGTACCAACAAATCACTTCCTAAAAATAAATTATCCAAAACCATTTTATAAAAATGAATTTTTGTATACACGTAGCAAAGGAAGACACTTTAGTTTCATTTTTATGTTTAATCTTTATTAGATAAACATGTTTAGATTTACAAAGCTTGAGGATATCGTTTTCAGCCTTTTTAAATTCACATTTAAAAGATTCTATTAACACGTTGAAGCAGGCGAAGCGATGCGTTTCTCGTGTGACTAATTCGCTATTCATAGGGGAAATGCAGAACCTATTTACAAGAAGTTTCAAATAAGTTCTTCAAATATTAAATGAATTTAGTTTTCTTTGCTCGTAAGCGATAGAATCAGTACGCTATTACTTTTTTAAATTTTTAATCTTTAAAATTTGGATATCATTTACACGAGATCAACTCACCCAGTGACGATATATTTCGGCGTCAACGTGTTAATGGATACAATATTAAGGTTTATGATGAATAGGAAATTATGCACAATAAATCAAATTTAAGAATGGGACATTTTTAACAAGCCGAGACCGGTTTACATTGGATAACAAATATGCTAGAATAACTTAAAAAGTATAACCACAAATACGATACAAGAATTATAAGATTTAATTTACAGATATTACTACAAAACAAAATTTGGTATAAATGTTACAAACAGAATATGGAAAATGCACAGTAAGACAGTGAACCATGTAACAGGCAAGGATTAAGACCATTCATTGGTATAAACTCAGCACTTAAAGTATATAAAATAATTTGTTTACAGTTTTAAGTTATTAGTTTTAATTAAGCACTTTAGTATTTAACTCTGGAAGTAAAAATTCCCTTAAACTGTAAACTTAGTAAAATTTTGCTATTGTATAATATTGTGTAACCAGGTGAAAACAGACACAATGGATTAAGTTGGGTTAGATATTTTAAGAGACAAAAACAGGACAATGATGAATGCTTATTACACTTGCATAACCCCCCTTAAGGATCGCATATTTTTTGCTATCTAATAAGATGAACCTCCTGTTTTGGAAAGGAGCTGTCATTTTCATTCATCTAAGAAGGCATAGAATACTCGAGATGCTTATGGATTCTACGCAATTTGTGTCAAATTAAAGCTAATTAATGATTAAATTTGTTTAAAAGACTAAAATTGGATAATTCGATGCACGTCAATATGACGGGAGCGAGACTCAAGGGGTTGAAAATTTCGGTAATATGAAGTTGAAAAAGATTATATAGTAATTTCAAGTATTTTACTTTAAAAACGGCAATTCCCATTTCATTCTTAACTGGAATAGTCTTGTAATTGAAATCGGGCTAATTTTTATTTTTGACACGAGGGTTTAACTTAACAAGTCTTATGCGCATACTCAATACGGCTTTTGTATTTTGATTGTATCTTGTTTATTCAATGTTTTAGTTTTGTAAGGAATGTGGCAAGAAACTTTTCACTTCAACTTGGCGCTTACGGCCCAACCTATACAACAATATATGACGTAAAGTCAAATTTCTAAAACCAAATTTTAACAAATCAAGCTCAATTTTACACTTCAAGATATTGTGTTGTACCAAAAAAGAACAAGACTGAGCCTCAAAATTGAACGAGATTTTCAGCTTTTAAATTTTTTGAGGACAGACTTTCAGTTTCTTTACATACTAGATACCCAATACTATGATAAAGAAGATCTAGCGCTATTTAGATTTAAAGACGAAATTGTGTGAAGTTAGCTGCAGTGGTATCCGCTTGAAGTTTGAGAAATAATTCAATAAACATTCCGAAAGTGGGTTGCAATGCGATAAGATAAAGGAATATCTGCATATGGTGCATCCTCAAGAATAGGCCGTGCACCCAGAAATTCAGAATTGAGTATAGTTCTGTATTGACATGTTTTTCATTAAAAGGAAATGACCAAGAAGCTATTTTGCACTAGCGAGTAATTGAAATAAATATTGAATAGAACAAATTAAACTTTAATTATCCAGTTACTGTACAATTTGTAACATGAAATGAATTGAAAGTAAAGATATTAACTATTTAAGCATATACCGATATTTTATAGCTTAGATATAGCGTTATGGATAGCAGTTTCACATTTTATAAACTTCTTTTAATATACAATTTATTTTAACACCCAATATCTAATACAATACTTATATATCTTAAATCAATCTTATATAGAAACAACTTTTAATCACTTCTCATAACTGATGACATTTGCCAAGAATATTCGTTTGATATTATTTTGAATATTTCTCAAAATTAAACTCAAAGAGAATAAATTTCTTCCTTTTCACAAATTTTGAATGCAGTTCTTAAACTGACATTTTTAAAATCGAATTTACAAAAATTTGTGTAATAACGGAAAGAAATCTGAATAAACAGGACACAAAATTGTACAACTCGAATTAAATTTGAAAGTAGAACATAACATTTTATTCGCAGTAACACAAGCAGTTTATAAGCAAAGAGCGAAGTTTCAAAAACACAAGATAATTACAAAATTCGGGAAAACTTAATGAACAAAATTTAATACAATTGTGTATCGACTAAATATATAAAACCAATTTACAAAATATACATATTATACACATGTATACATGAAACATTTTCCAGTTTTAAATTGATCTAGATTTACATAGATGATTAAGTACAACGGGAAAAGTCTTATGACTAAAAATTTAAAGGCTGGGTGATGTACCAAACTAGCGAGATACATTTTATATCACTTCTGTCTTTACATCTTTAGGCACGACTTCTGCATCACCTTCGGTTACGATATTTTATTACAATTTTAACAGGCACAAAATGAATGCTTGCAATTAAAGAGAAGGGAGAACATGGAAACAATCGAAGTTTCAGTTTCTTCCCGATTCTTTTTTAGTACTTGGGATTAACCTCTTAATGTGGTTTTCTGTACCATCAAATTAGATGACCCGTTCCGTTTCGGGAATGTGTTATATTAATTCAACCAAGAACCCACAGAACACCCGGGATGTTAATGGATTACTGGTCATTGTGTTGAATGATAACGTCTATGAATGACTTCATTTTAAATTATAAGTGTAAAATGCCACAATTCGATGCACGAACCCAGTTCGGGCATCCCTTTAAGGGGTTAAGATTAAAAGTTCACCCCTGAAGTTATTTTAGGTCAGAAACGTATCGATAAAAATGCATTTAATCTGCATACACAAATATTTTTAAAACAGGACTGTAGGAAAAAGGAAAAAAAAAAGAATCAACTTCCGATCGAAGGAAACAAACAGCATTCAGATTAGAGTTTTATAAAGTTAGGTAAAGATCTTATTTGGCCATGCTTCAGATATACGATTGAAAGATACAAGCTATATAATTCAGCAAAAAAGGTATCAACTAGCTTTAATACCTTTTAGATTTCCATAAGTGCTGAAACAAGAGCGTTTGATGACAAATCCTAAAAACTGGATGATAACGTTTTATAACCCTTTTCGGACAGGTACGGCGTATAATGCGCGTCACAGTTCACCGATTTCGAAATTGAGGTGTAGGAAATACAGTTAATGAAGAGGATAGAGGCTAAAATTCGGACACAGATGTGTATATTATGCATCCTCTCAAGCTCCTAATCATATTACACTATAAAAATAAAGTTTTAATTAATTAAATAAGCATAGAGTTGGAAAAACTGGATAGCGTATAAAGTGCGCCAACCTGATCCGAGTGTTCTAAAAAGTTCTCTGTCAACAAAGGGTTAAATTAACTGCTCGATACGAGAAAGTACCCAAAAAACATCTGCACGATATTTATAACCAATGGATTGAGGAAATCAATATTTCGTTTAGGATTTTCTACTATGAAGTTTCGCACAAATGTTAACACAAAAATCAACACACGCCGAGAATGGAATGTAGGGAAACGAAGTAAAATATGGACAAACTCAAAGTCAATTCGACATGCTGATATTGCTTGTCTTCTCACCAAATAAATATTTGTGGAAGAATTGTATCAATTGCCTTTCGAATAGACACGGATAAATGCTGGGTAAGTTGCGTTGAATGCTCAGTTATTCTTCACGTTATAAAATGTGCCCGTTCATACTTGTATATTACACTAGAAACTTCTAAAACCAACATTTATTTAATGGATCAGAAATTAATAAACAGTCTCGAATGAACTATAAATTAAGATGCGTTTTAAATAGCATTTGAGAGCAATCAAGGCATGGCATGAAGAACTTCAAGCAAAACAGGTGGGCGGATGACATTGGAAAAATTTGTGGTAATTTCTCAAGACAATTTGTTCGAAGAGGAATTTAATATATTGATCAGAAAGAACGAGACTGACACATGACGATGTAAAAGCCACAGCCGATGTGCCAGAACTTCAGTTTGAAAT